TTAAAGAAGAATATTCCAGAGACTTTACAACCAGGAATGACTGTAGACCACATGTCTGCAAAGACATGTCCATTGAACACACTGGTAGGATCGAACACAGAGGTGTCGCAAGTATCACTTACTGGTACAGAAAATAGTGGAGTTTGATGTGATAGCAGTTTTTAATGCAGGAAAATGAATGTAAATGGCAGATCATGTACATTTCTAAACTTAGCATTGTCATAAATAAAATTCGACAAAAATTGTTTACAAAGTGATTTTATTTTGTCTTTGTTTCGCGTAAAATTACACACATACTATCCCTCTACTACAGTGGTCACACGGTACTCATTCCCTCCTCTTTCTCATCATCATCATCATCATCATCATCATCATCATCATCGATTTCATCCAATAACGGTTTCTTGATCAGACGATTCAATAAGAGTTTTCTCCTGTCCACGGCTGCCTCTAATGCCTCTCTCCGATCCATACCTTCTTCATTCGTCAATCGTCAAGCGGTACGCATGACTTTCCTGTGTATTTTATCCTGTTGCCATTATAAACCAACAGGCTTGAAGTTAAGTCGAAGGAAAATACAACATCGCTCGTTTTCTGCATATTCGATAGGGCAGCTCGAAGAAAACCATGCAGGCTGTTCAATAACCATTTTAACTCGCTGATATGAAACATTATAAGCCAATTGTAACTGGTAAAAAAGCTAAAAAGTAAAAAAATGATGGAGCAGTCGTCGACTGCAGGCAGACATGACGGCGCATTGAAGTAGTATATGCATCACTGTCATGTCAAATCATGATAAAAAATGTTTAGAGGTAAGTTATCAAAAGTTGCGCTGCTAATTCAAGACCACAACTGCACAGATTTTAAAGCCCATTTAAATAAAGGAATAAAGCACACCAAATGCCCTTCTGCATTTATTCTCTAGTCTTTTGCATCTAGTTATATGTGAGACAAATGATGAGGAGGTATTTTTATGCATGAACATGTACTGATTTTAAGATTTTATTACCAGGAAGAATTGAATGTGGCTAAAGACATTGTGTACAGTTAAGGCTTACATGTAGCTTGAGACAGTAATGGCCAGCAGCTTTTTTACTTTCCCTGATAGTTTTCTGGTACACTGTTATACTCCTGAGTGTAAAAAGTTACAATAAGATGTCAATTGTCGACCCAGAAAATGGCGTAAGACAGCTTTTGGGTCTCCATTCAGAATTCAAACCACAAGATATAAAGCCACATTAGATAAAGGAGCTATTAGACAATAACTTAAAGCTTAAGTAACAAGTAGTACTGCACAGTGGTATGACTAAAATAGTGTTTATTGCTGACTTTTTTTCTGAATTAATAGGAGCTAAGAATTGGAGATTATGAAGCTGCACGTAAAACAGGAGCAACTGGAGCAACTGGCTCAACTGATTTTTCAGGTCTTGCCACAACCTCAGCTTCAGGAGGTCCTTTAGGAAGGACAACTTCGACAGGATTTGGTTCTACACAGAAAACAACAACTGGGTTTGGAACCACAGGTCTGTACGTGTAAATAATTGTGATATTACTTTATCTTGTTAACTTAGAGATCTTAAGCCTGTTAGTTCCCTGTCTAACATCTGAATTGTGATTTTAAAGCTGTGTTTTTTTTCTACAAACCAGTTAAAAGCCTTGCATAGTATCATTTAACTATTGGTAATGTCTTTTATAGTGAATAAGTTTGTTTGATCTCAAGACAATATGCCTGTTTGTATGTTGATAATGTAACCAGAATGTATACTTCACACATTTGGAAGGGTTCAACTGGTAAATGTACAGGTGAGTAGGAGATATTGGGGTGTCAAGCAATTTGAAAAATCAATTTAAGTCCATCCTGGTCCATTCTTAAGAGAGTGTCTCTGTAAAAGCGGTCCGGTCAATTTTGCTTGAGACACAGAGTTCCCTCATTACTTGTGTGTTGTAAGACATTCACGTGCCTATAATAAAACCACAATCTGTTTGATCGGATCTCTTTATTTTTCAAAGTTTTACGGAATTGAAATTTCACTCGAGCGAAGGCCTGTCGTGACACTTTTCAAGACTTTAATTTGAGACAACTTTGGAGGACAATTTAAAGAAAACTACGGAACTCAGCAAAAAACAAATACCACAGCCATGTACATTAACGCTATCTTATCCATCGAGGCGACTTTCGTGAACATCACATCTCAATCAAAGAAACAGGAAGACTTGAATGACACCTTATCGGTTCGCCTAAGTCACACACGCGAAAATCAATAAAATTTAAGGTAAATTTTTGAAAAAGTAAGGCGTTCTTAACTGATCCAACTAACATAGCTAGGAAGAACACGCCATAGAAAAGGTAACTACAGAATAAAACTTTGCGGCATGACCTTTGGGAAAACTTTATAACGCCACGAACTTACCTGATTTTTGGCAATCTCCGAGTTTGGCCGCCATTTTGAAGGACTTGTCAACATGAGGCGTAACAGATATAAACCGAGCAGGTAGATCTAAAACCGTCTGAAATACATACGGAAGCAATTGAAATGAACTATTCTTTCAATTCAAGCGGTAAAGTCTGCAATGTTTGTTAAACTTACCATTCCTACATTTCCAAGCGACCATTTCTTCCAACAATTCAAACACTACAACTAATGTTCGAATTCCCCTCGTCGATTCCACCGTAAGAAATAACCTGTGTCACCCAAGCTTCGACTCGAATGTGAAGTACGTATCACATAACACAACTGCTTCATCTTCGAGGCAATATCAGCTTGGTTTTTTTATTTTCTGACTGACAAGAACGGCGATTACGAAGCGATTGCCATGTTTACCTAATAAACGAACCGCTGACCAGCCGCTAAGTGAAAACAGTACGGCTCAGGGGTGAGGGGGAGGGTGTGGGGTGGGTGCAGTCAGATTATCAGAAGATTTTTGGGAACATTGGAATATATTCATTAAAGCATCATAATATAAATTACGATTCTCAGTCAGTTTGTGCAAAAGCATGCTTTGTGTTGCAGATCTAGATAACTTTTGTTTTGCTCCGGGTATTCTTTTTCTCTTTAAATACGTACATTTCGTTCCAAATAGGATCGGCATCAGTTCATATATTTATAAACAAATCTTTGCCAATGTAAATAAATGTGTTCAGATAGTCGAGATAACCATTGAACATCTTGTATCGCATCAGTGGTAAAGTTTCTTGTCTTTGCTCAACTCCGAGAGCGTGGAGCGGCAAAGACGCGACACATGAGTCACCAATCTCGCGGCTACTCCATGCTCACAGGATACGCGTGACCTCACTATATTTAAGAAAAATAAGAAACTGCTCGCAGTCTGTATTCTGTTTAACTATTTCATAGGAGTGACGCGAGTCTCTTCAATTGAGTGAGAAAGTCACAAACCCATTCTTTGCCTAGCGAGCGTAACCACAGACCACTCATGAATTGCTCCCTTGGCGCGGAAATCAGTGAAATCGTATCGAGTATACAAAGTTAGAGCGAGTTCCTTTAGACCTCCCGAACTCGTATCGCGTTGGCAACAATTATAGGTACAGGAAGAAGTCTTAAAATATGTTAGATAAATTTGTTTCATACTTTCTGAAAAGTTAAAGAAATTCGGGAGCTTTCCTACAAAGAAACTAAAATGGTAGGTAACCGACTTAGTTTTTCAGATAATTTACAATAACTGAAAATTTGAGTGTCTGTTTGTGGACCTTACGTCTTGCCCAACAATATAGTTGCAAAGATGTTTATAGTTTGCCCACACGATTAAGCTCTTTTCTTGTAACCTGTCATCGTTTCA